CATCCCCTGAGGGAGCAGTGAGCAGCAGCGGTGCCGTGCTCGGGAATCATGTGGTGATCTAACCCCCCAATTCCAACCCCTGATGCTGAGTGCCAAGCAGGGAGGCAATGGGTCCCATTTTTATAGTCTTTGGTATGCGCTGTAGGATTTGTTATCTGGGATATATCGTTTCCTCACAGTCGTGCTCTCTTATTTTGGTTCAAACATGAAGGAGAAATCAGAGTACTGAAATCCTTCAAAATCCCCTCCATTAAACAGCCTATAGGGGGAGTGCTTGGTCTGTTTTGCAGCCATTAATACACAGACTTGAGAGCAAACAGTCGGCGTATTGATTTCACACTTTAAGACTTCCTCTGTTCAGAGGTGTAACATCACCATGATGACCACAGGTATTTCCAGATCAACCAGGACTGAATCTTAGGGGTTACAACTATAAATAGAGCCTGAACTTGAGAACTTGAGATTGTCAAAGTGTAAAAGATTTCTCACCAAATTGTCCAGAGAGGATGATGAGGCTGAAGAGGACCAACAGCCTCAGTGTCCTCCAGCTCAAAGTAGCCATCAAACCTGTTTGAACTGATCCAAACATAATGAGGAATAATGTGAGTTTACCTGCTTTAAATTTAAACTAACCCATACTGCACATACACACTCAGCGGCATCTAAGTCACTTTACCTACCCAAATTTCAATCAGGTGCTCTGGGGTTTGGATGACAAACTGAATGTATTCTGCAGTTCAGATGATATCTAAAAAAAACAAAACAAAACGAAAATACACTGCCATTAGATGTGATGCAGAGGGTCTAACATTACGCAGGACAAAGGTAATCTCCTTATCTTCAGTAACTGCTGTCTCCACTGAGTTCTCTTTTTGGAAAATTAACTTGTGTTACTTCTATTGGTGTCTTTTTGTGGTGATATGTACATAAGAACAGGCCCCAGACATAAATAAAATGTTTTATTTAATTTTATTTTTCATGTGTGTGTGGTCCTCCTTCATACTGCAAACCCGTGACAGAAAATAGGCAGTTTAGCATTGCATTTTGTTTTCTGTGTGACTTAATGTCTCACTGTCTCTGGCACCAAACCTCAGCTATAACATGACAGTAATAAGATACATTTCTAAAATGATAAACACCTGTTCAGAGTGTAAAATCTTGAGGACTTACCTTACACAGCAGCCTGTCACTCGAAAAGACGGCAGAATTTTGAATTCATCCCGACGACTATTTTATTGCCGATGTACATTGTATGACACGCCTCATGCCCCGCAACATTTCCTCAGCCCTCCTAAAACATGGTAACATATTAACTCATACAGGCAGGTATTTGACAGAGTAAATATTACAGCAGGTATGGAAATGTAAGGATATGAGGACATTTAAAAAGCATATATACCCAGGACTCAATGGGTCTCAGACTCAATTTAAACCTTTTAAAAAGTAATATAACATATTACTCATAAATACATAGCATGCTTTTAGGCCTCTGGAACTGTGGTGCGACTCAAAGTCAGACTCTCGTCTTCATCAGGTTTCCACTGACATTCAGTAAGTGGAGAGCAGAAGGCCCCTTTTTGGTAAGGCACTGCTGGATGTTTTTAAATTTGACTGGACACAGTCTTTTCTCTGGGACTCTGTGGGCATCAACTGCTGAATGACTGAATGTGACACGTGTTATTGGTGTAGCATGTTCATCATCACCAGTAGTCAGCAGTGGAGGATGAAGCACCTGGAAACCTTTGGATAGATAGCAAGGCAATCCAGACACTGAAGAAAAAAGAAAAATGAGGAAGGAAATATTAAAAAGCCTTTATTGTAGTGGCTAAATCATTAAAAGAGCCAACATGTTTCGACCACTGTGGGTCTTTCAAAACATACAATACAGGTATGGCCACACCTATATAATCGCAGGAGCCAATCAGAGGCCATGCCATGACCCATATAACGGCATGACCGCTGAAAACAAATAAACAATTTAGATATTTACACACCCATCCCCCAACATGGTCTGCGACGCCAGGGATCATCACGCCCAGGGCCCCGCCCCCCTGGGTCTTGTTCATGATTAAGGGTAGAATGGAGCGTAAGATGGACTGGAGGTTTGGTGCGGCTTCTGCAGTGATGCAGGCACAACGCCAGACCTTCATGGTGAAGCTTTTGATTTCCTGGTCCATCTACGTCCCAACCCTCATCTATGAGATCATGGATACAAGCAGCCGAAATGAGTTTCCTCTGTAGGGGGCCTGGGCTCAGCCTTAGAGATAGGGGAGGAGCTCGGAGTAGAGCCACTGCTCCTTTGTGTCGAGAGGGACCAGTTGAGGTGGTTCAGGCATCTGATCAGGATCCCGTTTCAGGCACACCCCACGCTGTGCAGCTGTACATTTTCAAACAAGGGATTAAAATCCTTGTCTTTGCATTTTATTTTGGTCACAGTCTGTTTTTATAAAAACACTTGGGACATCTGAAATGTGGCTTTGACTTGCAGCTGAACTTGTTGCCAATTTCGTAAAATACAGAGATATCGTGTATCACTGTTCAGCCTGAAAATACTGAGATATTCGTTTTTGTCTTTATCGCCCAGTACTTAAGTAATGAAAGTAAAAGTAAATGTTGTTTATTAAAAAAAGCAAATGGTCAGAATGTCGAGAATAATAAAGTTGATTTTTTTTTTCTGTGTAAAGATTATTTTTTATGGCTTTTTACCTGTATGTAATAGGTCCCCATAGACCCTTTGAGGGCCGACATCACGGTGACATCACAGTGACATCATGTTATCAGCTGGAGGTGCAGCTGCCTCTCCCCCACAGGGCTGTAGGCTCCATAGGAGTGTTAAAATGTGTTTGTCTTGTTGTGTTATTGGGAGCCAGAATAGAAGGAGTCATGGCTCAAAACCAGCCGCCACTGCCCGTCAACAAAAACAAAGACAACTATGGTTAAATGTGATAAGACCAAAGGACTGGACGGAGGCCATCATCAAAAATGCTCACATGTGCAGCGCACACTTCATATCAGGTTAGGGAAAAAGTATTTCCTGTTGTAGGGATGAATAAGGTTATGTGTATTAAGGGTTATCATGTCCACCTCATCAGAAACTGGGGAGGGATTAAGAGGAATATTGGATTTCTCTGCAACGCTAACTTTTTAGCACATTAGCTAACGTTAGCTTCCATAGCAAAACAAACAAGTGTGGTCCTCCTTTGTAAGATTGGCTTCCTGTGACATCATCCATCCACTGAGTGAGAGCATACGGGTCGGCCAGTCTGGTCCCGTTGGTCAGTGTTTACTTATTCCAGTAACACTGGCGGTCCCGGAGAGTGAGTGACCTGACATGGTGCGTTGGTAAATTCAGTCTGACGCTCTACACTAAAATGAGAGCCCTGTTGGTGGAAGAAACGCAGTGTTATATTTCTACATGAATGAACCAACGGTTAAGTTAATCACACATTCACTCCGCTCCGGCGCTCTGCTCTGGATAACCCAACGCTACATTCACACAGCGCTCCCAATTTATCAACGCTCCAGTTTGTGTCAGAGTGCGCTTCCACCTGTGCGCTACCTCTGTCTTTATTTCTGTACTGTATTTTAGTTTGTCCTGTTTTTTGACATGAGTGTCCTGCTCTCCACCCCCATGTGTCTTTGTCCTTTTCTGTGTTCACATTTCTATAGTCAAACAGCCTCCTGTTAGACGTCTGCTTTGAATTTTCATTAGAATTTTTCACACCACCTTTCAGCTTCCCTTCATTTGGCTATCTATCCGTTTGAGATAAGACTTCAAGGTGCTTCTTATGTCCTACAGCAGGCCTATTCAGGTGGCAGTTGTGTGTGTGTGTGTGTGTGTGTGCTGCAGGAGTCTGCAGCATGATGCCCCATGTTGGGGCTGACCCCCTCTTCACAGCACACACACACTAAAACGTGGCAGAGTGAAGTCAGCCAACAGCAGACAAAGGCAGTATAACTCCAAGATTACTCTAGTTGACAACAACTATGTTTATTTCTAAAAGAAAGTGCAATAAAACCTCACGTCATGCTCTTCGGTCAGATATGTGATTTTTTTTTTTTTTTTTTTTTTTTTTTACCAAAGTGACATGCAAATCATTGCTACTTTTACTATAATAATTTGCACGTTGTCATTACTAATATATATTCATCTATTTTCATCCGCTTATCTGGGGTCTGGTCTCGGAGGCACTAGGACAAGCAAAGTATTCCAGTCATCCCTCTCCACAGCTCCTTCCTCCAGCTCCTCCTGGAGGACCCTGCAGCCTCCTACCAGTGGGACATGCCTGAAACACCTCCAGCAGGAGGTGCCAAGGAGGATTCTGATCCTATGTTGAACCACCTCAACTGACCCCTTTTGACGCTAAGGAGCAGCTGCTCTACTCTGAGCTCCCTCCAGATGTCTGACTCCTCCCCCTATCTCTAAGGCTGAGCCCAGACACCCTACAGAGGAAACTCATTTCAGACGCTTGTATCTGTGACCTCATTCTTTCAGTCACTACCCAGAGCTCATGACCATAGGTGAGGGTTGGGACGTAGATGGACCAGGAAATTGAAAGCTTTGCTTTCTGGCTCAGCTCCCTCTTTACCACGACGGACTGAAGTAGCGCCTGCATCACTGCAGAAGGCGCACCAAACCACCCATCCATCCCACACTCCATTCTACCCTCACTCATGAACAAGACCCTGAGATACTCCCTTGCTTGAGGCAATAATTCTCCCCAACCCGGAGAGGGCAATCCACCGGTTTCTGGCAGAGAACCATGGCCTCTGATTTGGAGGTGCTGACTCTCATCCCAACTCCTTCACACTCAGCTGCAAACCTTCCCAGGGCATGCTGGAGGTCAGGATGTGATGAAGCCAACAGAACCACATCGTCTGTGAAAAGTAGAGATGCAATTCTGAGGTCCCCACACTCCGCCCTCAGCTGCACCTCAAGATCCTGGTCAGCAATCTTAAAATCTGAAAGGACTATAAAAATAAATCAGCTGATGAGACAATTTCTGAAACTGTTGCAATGTTTCTTTAATAAACAGTTTTTAGATTACATCCCATAACAAAGGATACAAAGTGATGAATGTCAGATGAAGGAAAATGACACCTTTAAAATATTGATAATCATACTTTAATCTTTTTTTTTTTTTCATTTTCTAGCTAACTTTAATCTTATACTCAAAAACAGTGCTTTCTTTTTATTTAATCATGCGGCGACTGTTCAAATCAAGAAAATGGAAACACGCCTCTAAGAAATATGCAGTGTTTGTTAATATCATATAATTAATTGAAATTGTTTTTGCAGACTGAATTTTAACAAGAACAGAACGAGGTTAACAGGAACAGTTACACAATGTGATCGTAGCATCAATCATGTAAATGTGATCAGGTACTCTGGGTATGCCTGGATGTCATTGAAGACCACAAACATGGTTGGATTGGAACTGTTATCTGCAACACTATCATACAGGTCTGCAGCATTCCCAGAGTTTTTGGAGGGTGGAGTGATCAAGCCGCTTCGTCCATTGGTGAAGTCTCCAACCAGGACCCTGGCCAGGTACATGCGCTTGTGGCCTCTGGCTTCAGGTTTGGCGTACCCTTGTGCAGAGTAGACTGGGTTCACAGCAAAGTAAGAGCCATTGCCTATCATTGCACCTAATGAACAAAACAGAGGAAGTACAGATTTTATTACTGACTAAACACATCACAGCTTTTGTTAGTTTAGTAAGAAGAACACAGCTCCACCGTCGGTCCTCTGTGAAACTTGAATACATTGTTTACATAGAATTTTTTATTAGGACAGAAGATTGTTAGCTACAGACAAACTGCCATTTCACTAAAGCTGCTCTCAGCCGTAGAGTGGTCTCCTTAGAGTTGGTTAGTGTTCTCACGGCAGCGTTTACAGATCAAATGCCTGCTTCAGAAAGCTGCTTTTGATTGGTCAGAATTTCCATGTGGGAAAAATCTAGGAAGTAAACAAAACATCGAAGAAGAGTACACTTGCAAGATAAATGTGACCTTCCCAAATGAACTGCACTGAGGGGGCAATCAACTGGAGTTAGATTGAACCGAACCAAACAGGGCAGGTGTGAAACACCCTAAGAGACAAACTGTATGGATACATTTCATCACATCATTCAGGGCTTTGATCAGAAATCCATTGTTTGCGCTGGTTACCATGTGCTCCTGCGTAGCTGCGGTTGAAGCCTTGTTTGTTGATGAGATCGATGGAGTTGGCTCCGGTGCCGTGGAACAGCTTCCTTTCATTGTTGGTATGTTTGTTCTTCACCTCCAATTGTTTCTTCATCAGCTGGTAGCTCTGCCACAGTGTCGTATTTTGGACCCGTTCAATCTGCCAACACAGTCACGACACAACACGTTATTCATCCTCACTGGTGTCTTCAGATTTGCAGTGTTTGATTTCTAAATGGGACCGATTTGTTTCCACATGGTAAAAAAACATCTGTTTGCTTTTGTTGTTCAGTTTAGTGTTTCTTGTGGAGCGACAAGAGGGACAGAGCAAGAGGGCAGCCCATGTGCACCTGGGTTACCAGTTTAAAATATTTGCTAATGTATCATCCAGAACTGCCCGCATGTTTAGTATATTAATGTAATTATAAAATTACATATTTTGGGTGGGGCAACACAATGGTTTGGGGGGGGCTTAAGCTCCTTCCACAAATAGAATAGAATAGAATAACTCATATCACAGCGGTGCCTGGACAGCGTGACGTGTGTGGTTGTGCTGCTGCCGTGGTCCTGCCAGATGCCTCCTGCTGCTGCTGCCATCATTAGTCATTAGTCATACTTCTACTGTTATTATACACATATGACTATTGTCACACATGTATACTGCCAGATATTAATACATACTTTCAACATATTGTACCACAGTAGCCAGAACTATAACTATAATATTATTACTTTCAATAATGTTGTTGTAAGCTACTGTTATTACCTGCATCTCTCTCTCTCTCTCTCTCTCTCTCTCTCTCTCTCTCTCTCTCTCTCTGTCTCATTGTGTCATGCGGATTACTGTTAATTTATTATGCTGATCTGTTCTGTACGACATCTATTGCTCGTCTGTCCGTCCTGGAAGAGGGATCCCTCCTCAGTTGCTCTTCCTGAGGTTTCTACCGTTTTTTTTTTTCCCTGTTAAAGGGTTTTTTTGGGGAGTTTTTCCTGATCAGCTGTGAGGGTCATAAGGACAGAGGGATGTCGTATGCTGTAAAGCCCTGTGAGGCAAATTGTGATTTGTGATATTGGGCTTTATAAATAAAATTGATTGATTGATTGATTGAATATCGTTTATTTGTCATCGTCACATGTACAACGGAATTAAAGTTTAGTGACTGACTAACAACCCAACAGTCTCCTTAACAGTGTGTTTTGGTGCATTGTCCTGCTGGAAGGTCCACCTGTGTCTCACCCTCACCGTCCTGGTACATGGCTCCATTCATCTTCCGTTCGATCATTTGGATTCTGCTGGTCATGAGAAGAGGAACAGCTTCATACCTTGATGCTTCCACCTCCAGACTTCACTGTAAGTGTGGGATTTTTATGTTGTGTTCGCACTAAATGTGATGAAAATTTTCGTTGTCACGTTACTTGCGCGAGTTTGAATGCTAGAATATTTTGTGTTGACTCGCATCATTTGTGCATGAAATCACTGAATTGATGAATAAACTTCTGCTGGTGTGTCCTTGGCGTCATACATTCCCAGAGGATCTCAATTAGAGGTTGACCGATTCATTGGTTTGGCGGATTAATTGGCACTGATAGGACTTTATATAAACTACTGTTAATGGCAGAACGGGGTTCCAACAGTGGCCGACATCTGTAACCCTCCACTTGTCTCATGAGTACGGCCGTAAGGCTTTTGCATGGAGCACCCCACATGCAAATACAAGATAATGTGTGCATTAGATAAGCATGTGCAGTGTAATTTGGCTAGAATTAAGAAGCAAGCCACTATCAATGCATGTGAAATTAATATCTGATAATCTAACAATCCAGCCATGTAACTACCCTTTGATTAATATCAGTTGCACAGTTTAATCCTCCTAAAGCTCCTCCTAAAACCACCAAAGTGCCATACACCAATTCTGTGCTTTGGGGCCCGAGCAGCTATGAAAAGGTTCAAGCACTCAGGTGTGCCAGCGTACAGTCAGGGCCTGGTGTTATCAGCAGATTAATCGGCCATCGGCTTTTTCCTGCTCCAGACTAGAGCTTAGATTCTCTGCCCAAGCCCAAACCCGACCCAGTTCAGGCCGTAAATTCCCGCCACTATCCAGGTCGAGTTCCTCATAATAGACCTGGGCTATGGAACCAACTACTGCGACGTCAACGGGTGTGTCGACTTTGTCGAGTGTACCAAGTGCAGCGCGATGCTGGTATGTGACAGCAAAAAGACGGGGACCTCGGCACTTAAGAGGCACATGATGAAGGCTTGCCATGGAAAGAAAGACGAGAGTCAGCCTTCAATGTCCACGTTCGTATCCTTAAAAAAATGTTTGGTTTAAACCAGGCTCGGGCTCATAATTACAGTTAAAGGGAAGGGCTGGGCTCGGAGAGAACATGCACGGTCTCGGGTGGGGTCGGGCTGGAGTTTTTGGGCCTTGTTCTAAACTCTACTCTACGACTATCGTAAATATCGGCCATTATGTGATTCACGCCCAGTGTGAACACAACACTAGGGTTATGTATAGTGATTTCGGCACAGTGGTGCAGTGGTTAGCATTGTTGCTTCACAGCAAGAGGGTTCCTAGTTCGAACCCGGGGTGGGGGAGCCCCTCTGTGCAGAGTTTGCATGTTCTCCCTGTGTCAGCGTGGGTTTCCTCCAGGTGCTCCAGCTTCCCCCCACAGTCCAAAGACATGCAGGTTAACTGGTGACTCTAAATTGTCCGTAGGTGTGAATGTGAGTGTGAATGGTTGTCTGTCTCTATGTGTCAGCCCTGTTATAGTCTGGTGACCTGTCCAGGGTGAACCCTGCCTCTCGTGTCAGCTGGGATAGGCTCCACCATGGAGCCATGTACCTAAAAATCTGTTGCTATCCACCAAGACGGTGAGGGTGAGACCCAGGTGGACCTTCCAGCAGGACAATGAACCAAAACATACTGTAAAGGAGACTGTGTGTTGGTCCCAGAGAATGCAGTAATTATTTTTAGGGAATAAAAACATCATTAACTCCAGTATGTCAGTAATGATGATCAGAAACTGAACATACGCTGATGATGTTTGCAGAGAGACCGGTCTTTTTCAGCTCTGTCTCCACATCGTTATATTCCTTAGATCCCGCAGTCAGAGGGAACAGTTTGAGGAGGTCGCCTTTCATGTCATCCCAGTGTGACGGCAGAGCAGCGTCATCTGGAACGAGAACAAGAGTATTTCAAGGTAAGACACAGTGTGGCACAAACTGCATCTCAGTTTTTGTTCCTGTTTAGACTGGACCGTCACTGTGTGTGCAAACTATCGTTTCAAAGAGGGGAAAAGCTCCGTCCTGTAAAGTGGATCCCTGAGTTTTTTCTGTGTGAGGAGCCTCTTGTCCGGTTTTATTTTTATTAGCTCAGGGTAAAGTTTCAATTTTAATATTAAAATGGAGAGAAACTAGCTAGCTGGCTAACCTGGCAGAATTCACATATAAATAAATGTGTGCTTCAGTAATATTTGAGAATGTTCAGAGAATGTAGCTATATAGCACTGTTTGTTATCTGGGTCAGTGTTAAAGGGATAGTGCACCCAACATGAAAATTCAGCCATTATCTACTCACCCATATGCCGAGGGAGGCTCAGGTGAAGTTTTAGAGTCCTCACATCACTTGCAGAGATCCAAGGGGAGAGGAGGTAGCAACACAACTCCACCTAATGGAGGCTGACGGCGCCCCAGATTCAAACGTCCAAAAAACACCTAACTGCATTAGGTGGAGTTGTGCTGCTACCCACTCTCCCCTGGGATCTCCTTGAGTGTTGTGAGGACTCTAAAACTTCACCAGAGCCTTTTTAATTAAAATAAAATAAAACTGCTGTCTTTTGTGAAGATAAACAAATTGACCGTATTGTATCTGTGCTGTAGACTCTCCAGGTGCTGCACTGCTTCTTTCGTTTCTTGAGCATCACATTTTGTTTGTGTGCTGTGCACTGATCTTCTGGGGACATTTTGCACCTCAGATTCTGACCTTGACGCTACTCTTTGAAATGGATGGGTACAGATGTGATGCAGCAGCACAGAAGTGGAGAATTTCTAGCTCACAGCAACTTAAAATGACAAAGTCTCTGGATTTTGTTTGATATCTAGCGTCTGCAAAAAATGTCATACACTTCGGATCTGTTGTTCGCAATTAGCTTGTTTGCTGTGGCACATTAATGTCACACTGAATCAAACTATTGAACAGCCAAATCTGTTTCAACATACATAATTCTGAGTCGGGTGCAGCCCCAGTTGATAATTGACATTTGTGAAATCGATGCTGAATCGTCCACATTGCTATGAATCTAAGAACTGACAACTCCCCCACAGAGAGTCTTTCTCCAAAAGAACCAAAGGTTTAGCCACCTGACAGTCGCTCCCCGTCCTCTTTTTATGGACCTTTCAGAGACACAAATCAGCTTCTCCATGTGCACGTCTGTACATGAGAATATGTTTTATGTTTAAATGAGAACTATGAAAACAAACTCACCTTTAACCTCTTTCCTCAGCAGCTCCACCTCTTTACGCCCGTTCGCTGACACTGCTTTTCTAAGCGTTACTTTAGCGTGGTATGTCTCATTGTTGATCTTGATCTTCACACGTTCTTCCTTCTTCTCCAGAGCCTCCTCCAGGGTGAGGTTGGTGTAAATGTCGCAGGGCACCATCACCCCGCTGCTGCTCTCAAACTGCCATTCTACCAGTCCGCTCAGCAGCAACGCCTTGCTCTTTAAGTTCTCCGACCTCTCCACCTTCCGAATGATGTCCCTGATGGTCAGAAAAAAACACACTTAAAGGAATATTGTAATGTTTGGTACTCTGGGACCGGAGCTTTGACAGATTTTTTCTCCTCCATGAACAGATTTACTGACCTGACTTCGGACTCAGCGGTGTAGACGTCTCTGGTCAGACCCTCCAGGTGGATGTTGGGCTCCTGGTCCTCCAGCCCTCGGTCCAGACGGATGCTCACCGTCAGTTTCCTCTGCAGGGCCTTCAGCTGGTCAATGTCAGCCTGTGACAGCTTACTGATGTACTGGTCTTTGATGGTTCTCTCCGCCTGCTCGGCCACAATCAGCTCCTCAATCCTTCTCTTGGCCTGAGTCACAGCCTACAGTGGCAGGGTAACGGTCGTGGAGTTTGGTTACAAACAAGCATGCAAGAACATTTTCAGATTGTTATCCTGAACCGCTCTCAGCGCTCTGTGAGGTTCTCTCGTATGACTGACCGACTGACTCACTGATGTCTAGAATCAAGAGACACTTTCAAAGCAAAGAGCTGAAAGGTAAAGTGAATAGTATCATGCCCACCTTTTTGTTGTCGGCACACAGCTGAAACACTGTGGGCTCAAACTCCTCTCCCTCCAGAACCAGAGGGTCAGCACTGGGACGCTCCTCCCCAAGTCCCATGAAAAAAGAAGTGACGCTGTCTGAAACAACATTTAAAAAAAGAAAAGTGTGTTGTGTTACAGCAGTGTGTAAGACATGTTTGTATCAACGTGTGCAGTGTTTTTACTGGAGTCAGTTACAGGACGATGAGATTCTGTATCGTTCTCAGTCAATAAGTTAAAGAGTAATTTGGATCCAGAGACAGAACCTGATCTTGTGTGTGTGTGTGTGTGTGTGTGTGTGTGTGTCAAAGCCTGACATATCTTCTCCCTCTGTGCCATCGAGCTCCATGAACGTCCAAAATCTTTTAATAACACATTAATGAGTGGCTGTTGCACTGGGTGATATGTTCTTTCATTACCATGAACACACACACCATGTGTGTAGGGTCTGCCGCACAGATACAAATCCCACTTAACATGTTGGTTTGAGTCTAAACATGAGATTGTTGACAATGTTAATCACACATCCAGAGCAGATGGAGTCCACTTCATACCTTTGAACTTTGTAAAGACACTCTTCTCTGCCACCTCCTCTCCCTCTCTCTTCTTCATGCTTTTGTGAAACTCCGTCATCATGACCGTCTGGAAGATCAGGATCTTCACGCTGTCAACAAACCTCGGGTTCTTCTTCCTCACAAAGTCCACCACCGCATCCACCATGGCGTCCGCCACCGCTGACGGGTTGGCTCCTCCCTGACCTAAATGGAAGACCCGTGATAATGATAATGATGATGATGATGATGATGATTATGATGGACAAAAGGATTGGCACATAGTCTGTGAAAGTTGATGATGAACACTGCAGGCTAACAGTCTAAAGTTTCTCAAAGTGTGAGCTGTAAAGAAAGTATGCCATAAAGTAGTCGTGTACAAATTCATAGTGTAGAATGTCATTAAAAATACTCTTAATATAATATAGTATAAAATGTTATGTTATAAATGTTATAAATAATATATACTATGTTAGTATGTTTAAAAGGCAAAGTAAGTTTAAAGAAAGTCAGTGTGTTATAGTACAGAATGTTATAAAAATGTCATAATATAGTAAGTTGAAAAATGTCATAGTACAGTAAATTATAAAAAATGTCGCAGTAAAGTATGTTAAAATGGCAAAGCATATTACGTATTATAAAAAGTCATAGTATAGTATGTCGCCCAAAACCATGAAATAAAGTTATGGTCTAGGACTTTAAAAAAAAGTCATAGTGTAATATGTAATTAAAATCATGTTAATAAAAGTTCATCGTATAGTACGTTCATAACAGTCAAAAACAAAGTATATTAAAAAATGTCATGGTATAGGATGTTAAAATAGTCAAAGCATATATTACCAAAAAATTCACAGTATAGTATGTTAAAGAATGTCACAGTATGGTATGTCTTTAAAAATGCCAAACCAAAGTATGTTCTAGAAAGTCAGTCTGATTGCTTTCTGTGAAAGTTTGTCAGTTTGGTTACAGACTCACAATCCTCATATTTTTTCACACAAAATCTGTAACAATTAAAAGAAGAAAGATTCATGTTTGAAATGGCTTTCTGTATGTTATGTTTGTGTAGTATTTTGTATTTTATTTGATGTCATGGCTTTCAGGAGGCTGAAAACTCCATCATAAAGAAGTCACCGATGTCAGACTTATTTCTTGTTGTATTCAGTACATGTTCATTAAGTCATAACACTTGTTCATGTCAAAAAGGATTCTACTGTACACCAATAGGATTCTATTGATTGAAAAAACAGATGGCAAATGTTTTGATAATTCAGCTAATGAAATCTTTTATTTTGTACAACAAACATCAAAGTCATAGTACAGCATGTCGTCCAAGGAAAGTATGTCGTCCAAAATCATGAAAAAAAGTCATAGTATAGTATGTCGTCCAAAATCATGAAAAAAAGTCATAGTATAGCATGTCGTCCAAAATCATGAAAAAAAGTCATAGTATAGCATGTCGTCCCAAATCATGAAAAAAAGTCATAGTATAGCATGTCGTCCCAAATCATGAAAAAAAGTCATAGTATAGCATGTCGTCCCAAATCATGAAAAAAAGTCATAGTATAGTATGTCGTCCAAAATCATGAAAAAAAGTCATAGTATA